AAACATGCTACAATGACTGGTTTCTAGAAAGGACTTCCCAAATGAAAAATATCATCATTTTACAAAATAGTCCAAAACATGAAAATATGAGATACTTGAATTTTGATGTTTTGACATAAACCAACTTTTGAAACTTTGTGAAATGTTTTTATAGACTTAGTAAAACATGTATAAACTGATATTGAAGTCTACAAACTAAGAATACAATATTTTCACAAAATTGCATATTCTATGCAATGTTTTCAAAAACACAATAGAAAATATGAAATATATAATTTCATATATATAATCATAAAAACTCAAAACACATGTATGTATATATATAACTATATATATGCATAGAAACCAAAACTTATGTATATATATATATAACTATATGTATATTCGAAGAAAACAATAAATGTGTGTGTATAGATATTGAGCTTAATGTATTAAACACACATAATATAAATCCTAAACTAAATACCCAAGCTTGATCTTGATCTTCATTGAGCTCAACTTGGTACACGTTGCGGATGAAGCTAAACTTGGATCTTGAACTTGAATTGTACGATGCTTCACTCCACAATTCCGCTAACCTCCTCTTGATATGAACGTGTAGGCTCAATCCATCCAACCTCCAACTCGTTGTTTGTCTATAATAAATAAGAAAACACAAATACTAGACAAAAAACATTAGTGGTAAATTGTTTGTTAAACATCATCAAAACAAGAAGGCCAACACATCTTAGAAATGACGAGGGTCGATCTGGAACATTCACAGGTTGTGATATCCAGGAAGTTGGAACTCTCGGAGCAAAAACTAGTCAAGATAGAAGAAGAAGCCGCTAAGATGTTGGGCGCCACTGAAGAATCTTTAAGAGCCGAATTGCAGACCGAGCTTGAACGAGCTTATGTTGAGGAGTTGTCTAAGTTAGAAAAACAAGTCCTTAGTCATAAGTTTCATGTAGAATGATTGCAATTCTCGTATCTACAAACTCGATCTTTATTAATAAAATATATTTTTTGCTCAATGTATTTTATTATGATTTTTTATTCTGTTTGGAATAATCAACCATAATACTTATAGAATTTTTGGCAAACCATCAGCCATCAACGGGTTTGATGTGTCTTTACCGATTACCGTTTGAATCGGGCTAGCATGTGAATTTTTTAAATTTGTTTCACATGTAACGTTATACTAAAAGAATGACTTCTCTTAGACTTAGTGCTAAGATATTGAATATGTAGACTTAACCATCCCTCACAAGATGCTCTTAGGAGTATTGGCAAACCCTCATCCATCAATGGCTTTAACAAGCCTTCACCGATTACCATTTGAATCGGTCTAGCATATAAATTATTTAAATGCATTTTACATGTAACGTTGTGTTAAAAGAATAAACTCTCTTAGACTTAATGCTACGATTCCGAACATGTAGACTTCGCTATTTTTTACGGAAATACGCTAACCGACAACGCGTATTAGGCACAGACTTATCCCTATTTAGGATTCGGGATAAAATTCCCCATGCGTGAAAGGTATGGATTATGACGTTGTTAATAACTGCCTGCCACGATGTTGAATACGTGAGCTTTTGTCCTTTTTACGGTAAAAGACTAACCGGTAACGCGTGTTAGGCGTTGACTTATCCCTACTTAGGATTTAGGATAAAATTCCCCATGTGTGTAAGGCATGGATTATGGCATTATTAATAACTGTCTATCATGATGTCGAATATGTGGATTCTTGTCCTTTTTATAGTAAAAGACTAACCGGTAACACGTGTTAGACGCTGACTTATCCCTACTTAGGATTCAGGATAAAATTCCTCATACGTGTAAGACATGTATTATGACGTTATTATTAACTGTCTGCCATGATATCAAATACATGGGCTCTTGCCTTTTTGCGGTAAAAGACTAACCGACAATGTGTGTTAGACGCTGACTTATCCCTACTTAGGATTTAAGATAAAATTTCCCATGCGTAAAAGACATAGATTTTTATCGCTACAATATTGAATACGTAGACTTGGTTGTTTTCGCAGGAACGGACCACCCGATAACATGTGTTAGAAGCAGACTTGTCTCTATTTAGGGATCGAGATAAAGTCCCTCATGCGTGTGAGGCATGTATTTTGGATGTTGAAAGATTATGTCTTCTCTTGGGGCAAAGACGAACCCAATACTGGAGAGGAAGAATTTTATATTCTATCTCCAGCTACAGAAGAAACTCAAAGTGGGATTTCCACTTCGAGAATCTGGAAGGTGAAACAAAGAGTGGGATTTCAACTCCGAGAATCAAAAAGATTCAGATAACCCTAACTTTTATAGGATTGGTTACCTAATCTAAAAATAAAATTTCTCATTTATCGAGACGAAATTCTAACTCCAGCCTTAACTCTTATAGGTTTGACCGAAGGGGAAAAAGTGGAAGCCTTTCGTTTATCGAAAAGGAATTTTGATATTGGTCCTAACTGTTTGATGGTTTGACCAAGTGGGGTTATTGAGATGACCCTAACTTTTGTAGGTTTGATCGTTCAACTTGGGCGAAGGCCTTTCGTTTATCAAAAGGGAAGTCTGATTTGAAGATGAATCTCTCATTCATTGAAGGAATCGAGAGGGGATTTTGTCTTTGGTCCTAACTATAGGAAGGTTTGACCAAATGAATAGTGGGAGTGGTGTACAAATAACAGTAGAAATGTTGTGTTAGACCCTAGGGGGGGGTGATTAGGGTTTTATGCTAATCTAATCTGATTTTATACTAATTAAAACTAATCTTCTTGCAAGATAGATATACAAATATGTTATAAGCAAGAATAAGCAATATGAGCAACTAGCAATGAGATATACTATGAAATATATGCAAGAATATATAAACTAACACAAGGGTGAAATAAACAATCTACAAATGTGATAGGGCCATTTACGATGGTGACAAGAATGTAATGAACACTAAGCACAAATGAAACGCCAAAGCAAACTCAAACACAAATTTACGATGGTGACAAGAATGTAATGAACACTAAGCACAAATGAAACGCCAAAGCAAACTCAAACACAAGCAAATGATCATGGAGTTCGGACCTTCCGTCCTACATCTCCGCTCCCCACTCCCAGGGAGAAATCCACTATCACAACCGGGTTTTCTACGCTCACCTAAATAACGTTTACACCTCATAATGTTGGTTTTCAACGTTCATCGATCAACGTTCACAATCACTCATAATGTCGATTTTTAACGTTCACCGATCAACGTCTACTCCTCACACTCGGTTTTCTAGCTCACCGAAAACTTTACAATCTCACAATATTATAAATGATTTGTTCTTAACAATAGATGAGAACTCAATGTAAGCTCCCACTCAATGTTACAACACTCACTAACCCAAATATACTATGTATGAATACAATAAGCTCAATGTGGGTGCGTATAATAATAAGTTATCAAATCTAAACTCAATATAAAAACTAGCTTTAAAGAATGATAATCAAAACAAATATGCAAAACTCAATATAAAAACTAGCTTTAAAGAATGATAATCAAAACAAATATGCAAATGTAAAGCTAGATATGAGTTTAGAAATTCTTCTCTGAAAAACAAGACGGAGAGATGGATTAAGATGAAGCTCAATCAATATAGATGATCTCCTCCACTTGTAAAACAAAGTTCACAAATCAAACAAACTTTAAACCAAACTTAAACCATTGTTAAAAACTCTTTTAAACTTGTTTAAAACATTTTATTGGTTGTAGAAAATAGTTATGACAAAGGGGTATATATAGGGTAGAAGAAAACAACCCAAAAAAATCTCAAAAACCCACTAAAAAACCAAAAACAGAAGTTACCATTACTGTGAAATATGTATGTATGTATATAAATAAGTATTTGTTTCATATTTAACCAGAAAACCATAAAACCAAGACTTGTGTGTGTGTGTATATATATATATATATATATGAGATTAATGGGGATCCTTGTCATGGGAGGGGATTTCCTCCTATGACGCCTCTAAAATCACATGATTGAGCGATATTGTGGATGATCCGCTCCGTTGAACTTGATCTACATATTCTAAAACCCCAACACACCAAGTTTGGGGTGAACCCGTCGTCCGTTTGACCCTCCTATATATATATATATATATAAAGAAACCAATAAAATGTGTGGGTATATAATTGAGCTTAAAGTACCAACACATATAATATAAACCTAAACTAATTTACCCAAGCTAGAAGATCTTCAATAAGCTCGACTTGATAAACTTTGCGGATGAAGCTTGAACTTGGATCTTCAACTTGAATTGTATTGCTTCATTCCACTATTCCGCCAACCTCCATTGGATATGACCGTGAATGCTCGATTCCATCTATCCTCCAACGTATTGTTTGTCTATAATAAATAGAAAAACACAAACACTAGACAAAAAATATTAGAAGTAAATTATTTATAAATCATCATCAAAACAAAAAGACCCAACAGAAACATCTGGATGTTTTGTGTAATTTTATACTTTCAATGATGTTTTGTGTAATTTTTGAAACTTTTTAGGATATTTTTGCAATCTTCATATATGATAGCTTATTAATCTTTAAATTGTTAACCTGTAAGTAGTTCACATGGGATTATGATAGGATATAATTATGATTATAATATATTAAAATTAAATAAAATATTCAAATATCCAAGGGTAATATTAACAATGAAATTTTTTTTCGTGCTCGTACTTTTAAATAGAGTATTATATATTATTTTAAAATATCTATACAAGAGCAATTCAATTTTAAAGAAGTACAATAATAAATTCTATTTTTATATTTTAGACGGAATTAACTTTACTCCGAATGTTAAATGCCATATGAGAATTTGTGAATTGTTGCCGTCCTAATTAATAATTGTCCATAACAGAGGTGAAAAAGCACCCAAGTCATTATTTTTATTATTTTTGATTAAAAAAAACTCCCGAGTTATAAATACCTCTAATTATGTCTTTCTTTCCCTCCCAATTAAATTTTCCTTTATTGCCCCCGTGCAAACGTTATTCACGTTCCCCTTCCTCCAGATCTAGATCTACTCCAAAAAAATCCACGAAAAGAGCTGCTGAAAGTCCCACTTTTGGTAAGTCATCGCCTCGCTTATCTCTCTCTGTTTTTCCTCCGTGCCCTAATTTTCGCCGGAAAACCTCGCCGCCCGCTTCCGGTGATCTCATCGCCGGAGAACAGCGCTCCTCCTCTCTCTACTTCAACTCTCAAGTGATAGGGATTGATTCATGATAACTGACCTATAAAAATCAAGTTTCCAGTACTCAAGTCGACATCTTGCTTGTTCCCTTCATCAGCTTTTGCTTTGTTTTTTCTCTCAGGATTCTTTTGGGCCCAAGTTGCTGAAGATGATGAACCGCGAACGCGCTGCGAATTTAGCTCTTTTAGGTATAGCTCTCTTTCTCTACAATTTGGGTAAAGTTTGTATGATGAATGCCAACACCTTGGCCTTAAGAAACCCATTTTTAGGAGCTTTTATTGTTAGCATTATTTTCTCATGACGCAGTTGTTCATTTCCCAGACACTGCTTGATGAAAACTTACACACACCAAGAAGATGCCCCTATTTATTTAGAGAGCAAAGACGCTAATTTCTAATTGTTATATTGGAAAATTCTTGGCTGTGTAAAGCATGTATGCTTATATGATGACTAGATGGCCGCAACCTTGTTGCTCATGCATGCTAATGCCTGGTGCAAGTAAACGGAACATTATCTGACAAAGAACCAACTGAAAGCTTCTGGAGGTTATGAGATTGATTTTAGGCTTTAGCTTTTGAAATTTCGTTAGTAGATGCTGGACGACTGTTTCTTAGTTGTGAGTTGCTTTGGTTCCAGATTTCTGTAACTACATGCTTATGAAGGGATTGTGATTGAGACAAAATACATATTAGTATATAAGTCTATAGTCTATATGCCTCTACGTTTCTCTTATGTTCTTGTGTTTTAATGCTTGGTAATAAACCATACTGTTCTTTTGGGAACTTTACAAATGCGACAGGAACCTCTGATGATCACAAGTTAAGTTGTTCATGTGAGCTTGCTAATAAATGTCTTGGGAGCTTAGTAAGTGTTTTTAATGTATCTTTATTATGTTGCTCGTCTCTTGAAAGCTAACATGAGCATGGACACATCAACACAGACATGAAATGGTTTTGATGTTATGGAACGAATTCTACATTACTACACACGACACCAATAGGAAAAAAGAGATGTGTTGTGTCCGGTAGTGTTTGGCACGTGCATAACAAGACAAACCTTTTGGAAACCACTTGATATTGAGAAGTGTATAAGTTTTCTGGAAGGATGAAAATTGGCAGTGGTTTGATTTTCTATCAAAATGAGGAACTTTTCACTCGATGCTATTTTGATTTGACAGTTGATGACCAACTCTCGTGCTATGAATTACCAGTTTACTTGATTACTGGCCATCAAACCTGGAAACATTATACTGTGCAGTTGTTTTTTATGTGGGTTAACTTCAATTTTCTAAATCAGACAATAGGTATTGGCACCTCTGTTTTATCGGTACTGCATATCTGGACTGAGGCCAAAACTTAACAATCAAAGAGTCTACCCTACAACTTTGAGAGGGTATATCTGAAGTTACCAAATAGGAAAATCAATCCCCATACTTTAATTGACTACAAGCTAGGTATCATGCCACTAAAAAGATGTTCCGGATCACTGGTTTAACTGATCTTGTATTCAAGTGATTTTGGAGACCAAATATTCTAGAATGGATGTTGACAAATGTACCTAGGTGTGTGTTTTTAATTCTCATATGTTGGCAGTTAGTTCATTTTTTTGTTGGCTTAGATAACCATGCTGCTATTATGTAGTAACTTAGTACTTCATATTTTGTGGAAGGAGAAAAATATCTTGTTTTACGTTGGTTTATTGTGATGTTTTGTGCATATATAACATGCCGCTTGGTCCTTTTCTTTTGCAGGTCTTACCTTGGCACCACTTTTCGTAAAAATAGATTCCAACTTGAATGTTATTCTGACAGCATGCCTTACAGTTTATGTTGGCTGCTATCGATCAGTAAAGTCCACATTACCATCGGTAAGCTTTGCTATTTGGAAACCCTTTGATGTTCCTTGTCTCCATGGATCATGTTTTCATGAGCATGCTTAGTTTTTCTTATTATTTTCTTGAATGTCTCATGTGATGCATGCAGGAAACAATGTCCAATGAACATGCAATGCGCTTTCCTTTGGTTGGGAGTGCAATGCTTTTGTCACTATTTTTGCTCTTCAAGTTTCTATCAAAAGATTTGGTCAATGCTGTGCTTACATGTTACTTTTTTGTGCTTGGAATTGTCGCTTTCTCGTATGTTCTTTTCCCTTGCTTTTGTATTAATTTGTTATATCTAGATTATTAATATTAAAAGTCTGTTGCTGCAAGTTCATGTTTTTTCCTGATTCTTTTCCCGATTTTGACATAATTTCTCCTCTTTTGCTGATTTTTTCTTGCAGTGCGACACTATTACCTGCCATCAAGCGTTTTCTTCCCAACAAGTGGAACGATAACCTCATTGTTTGGCACGCTCCAATTTTTCACTGTATGTTATTTTACATTTGGATATCATTTACTTATTTTACCTTGATAATAATAAGTTTTGACCAACTAAGATGATTGATTCACTATTAAGATCTTCACAACATATGAGGTTCTTAACTATGCTTTCTAGTTTCTACTATGCAGCATGAGAATAGTGATCTCTGAAGTGGTTTTAGGTTGTGATTAATGATAGTTATGCATTTTTCTCAATTAGTTGTGTTCCTCGCTTCCAATTGAATAAGGGTTGATAGGGTAGAATCGATAGATATATGCTGTAGCATTTTTAGCATGGCGCCTCTCTAGGCTGTTCTTGTTAGACAATTCCAGAGGCGTGCAAATAACATGAATTTTAAGTGTAAGCATTAGGATTTCAACTTTCATGACATTTCTAAGAAATTAGTAATCCAAACTGCAGCTTTAGAGGAAATTTCATTGTCTTGTCTTCCATGGTTTAGGATTTCTCTTATCTTCATATACTGCCATTCCTTTTGCGTATGTTGGTAGGGGAAAGAACCTTAGGTAGGACTTTCCTGGTGAATTTCACCATACTAATTTCTATCCGATTGGGCATCTGTCAGGTGTGAAGATATAATGGAAGATGCCAACTGTAGTAGAAGGTTAGACTCAAAGAGATAAAATGAATTCCCTATCTCTCCTCTCTTCTTATGTCAATTCTCTTGCTTTCCATATCTTCCTGTCATACTATGAGGGCCTTCTTCAGGAACTTTATGACACCTCTTCCATTTCTTAATAACCGTATGCTAAGTACTGACATATATGATGTCATTGACATCTTATCTTTTGCTCTGAGGCCAACTTACCTTACTAACTTGGACCTATGATGCACTGGACATGAATCGGACTGGTATTGACTCTGCCCATGTCATCCAACTATAGACGAAAATAGTCATGGTATTGATGCTTTTAAATGCTTTTTTCCCTTTAAAATTTTGTCCCACTTCCACATAAGAGTAGGAGTAGAAATGGGTTAGTTGGGTTAGCAACTGGTCTTACCTATGTAGGGCAGAGTGAGACCTTAAAATGACTTCTTTTTATTAAGCAGACTAATATGCCAACCCAAACAACACAATTTTGTTTAAAGCTGAACTTCAACTTCTTATCAATTGGATAGGGTTCGTACTCGGGGTTCCTGTAATCAGGCCACAGCCAAGTTTTTGAAACTCGTCTAGAGGGGGAAAAAGATTGCAAAAGCTTGAGTGTGAATGGAGTTATACTAGATGAAAGTATATTAATGTGAGGGTAACATACATAAACCATTTGGCACTGCATGCTGGCCTTCAAAGACTCATACCAAATTTCCATTCTAATTCAAATGCAAGTAGAAACCAAAGTTAAAATTTCAAAAGGAAGAACAAATTAACATTTGCTAATGCCAAGGCTTCGATAGAGAGCACATAACATGTAAACCACCAGGACATCAATTGAAATTTAACTGAAAAACTCGGAAATTATCTTTAATTGGCCAAGTCTTAATGTAAAGGTTTGGGGTGGGTTACGGGAAGTCACAGGTACAACTGTGACTGTAAGCACACGTTCACACGTAGAAAGAAAAGGTAAGCCAAGCCAACACTTCATGTCCGGACCAAGTTGTCTTTTGGGGGGTCAACACTATGTACCCATACACGTTTATTACTGATATGAATGTGCTAGTTTTGTGCTGGTGATATGAATTATTGTATCCCAAAGTAAGAGGATGCGACTGAGACTTGGAAGTCTCTGCAAGTCTTCTGAGCATCCAACTATTTGCAGAAAGAATAGTTATGCTGGGAGTTATCTTCATATATTTAGTTAAGCCTGTGCTGCCTGGAGAGGAAGGACGTCGGGTTTCTCCAAGATCCAAGTTGTCTCCATCTTTTCCTTTTTAACATTTGGTCTGCTGAACTTGTAATCCTATACTTAATTTTCTTCCTTCGTCTAGTTTGTTGGATAACTCAAAGTTCTATTCTTTAATTGCAGTGACTACAAGGTCATCCTAAGCTTATACAAAAATAATGAAGATAATGACATCATTAATAACATTATGATTAACAACAGACTTTGTCCCAAGTCTTCTGGTTTGGTACATGATTCTTTTTCTATATTTGCGGTCCTAATTATGGCCTTTTCATCAGTTACATAATTAAATTAACCTTTACATACGCTGCTGATAGTTATTCTGATGCACTGCTATTTAGAATGCTCAATGGTGTCTTATATTTATGCATTTTGTATAGATCTTACCCATTTTTGTGTCAGATATTAGCTATGTTGCATGGGTACGGGTGTGGGTGTGGGTGCATGTATCGGTACGGGTACGGGTATGGGAGACATCAAATTTGTAAAAGGTAGGGAACAGGGACACGGCTATATATATATATTGGAATTAATAATTCATATGAGGACAAGGATGATATAAATTCCTATAACAATTTAATGTTTCTTTTATTATGTGGATTATAAATTGGAAAATCACAAGTTTTTGAACTAGACATCCAAACGACCCTTCAAAATCATAATTCGGAATCTGACCTAAGTCCAATGAGTTTCAAGAAGTGGATGTGTAAGTGTAGGATATATGTCCAAAAAATATATGACAAGTGTTTTAAATTAAAACATGTATAGTATAATTGACTAGATGCCCGAATAAATGTATGCATATATGCAAGGAGTTTGGGTATGGGTACGTGTCGAGTACGGGTACAACTTTAGATCAGAAGTATCCAAGTAACATAGGTATAAGTAACCCAGAATCCTTCTTTATCAGAGTGAATGAGAATCATGAAAATGAAATACGTTCATAGCTATTAGTGTAGTTAAAGATAGCCTAAATCTTACAAGCTGCTAATTACTTTCTCTGATTATGGTGTCAAGCAATTAGTTGTGTTGACTCAGTGTTAGTCTGGTTCTTCCTTTTCTTTCTTTCTTGCTTTCTTCTTCTTTTTTCCCCAGTGGACTTATAAATAAGTTTTACTTGATGCAGCTTTTTCAGTAGAGTTCACGAGGTCTCAGATTGTTGCTGCTGTTCCAGGAACATTTTTCTGTGTGTGGTACGCATCACAGAAGCATTGGCTGGCAAACAACATCTTGGGAATTGCATTCTGCATTCAGGTTGTCTTGTGGACTGGTTGGTTTCAATATCTTTGAACCTTCCTTTACATTCCTATGTTTTCCATGGTTTTCTCTTTTGCCCAATAGGGGTTTTCCCTTTTTTTTCTTTTCAAATCTATTATAAGGTTGCTATATTTGTACCCCTGAAAAGTCAATTCTCAATTTGTACCGCGGTACATATAATTGTCGTTTGTTACATTTTATGTTGCTTTTGTTACATATTTTACGAACTCTTGCTTCTTGATGTTATAAGGAGTTTTAGGCTTCTGTAGTTCAGGAGGAGGGGGGTGGTGGCTGGAGGGAGAAGGGAATTAGGGTTAGGGTTCATTGGATGACCGGAATTTGTTGGGAAAGAAATTTAGAGCGGCTCTGATACCACGTGAAAGTAATTAGAGAGACAAGAAGAAGAGATAAGTAGTCTCTCCTCTGCTGTGCTATGTTTATACTAAAAAGAAAAATACAAGAGTTGGCCCACAAGCAATGTGGGACTAGACACAAGATAACTAATCTCTCATATAACACGCTAGATGTAGACAAATATGTTGGCATGTAAAGTTTTATTCAAAAGTGAACGTTCTGCAGTCTTTTCATAGCGTGCATATAACTTGGAGAAGATTTACTCTGTGTTTGATCAATTTTGTTGGCAGTTTAGTTTATTTATTAACTCAATTATCTTGGCATTTTCTCTTCATTTTATTTGTTTTTAATCCTATGTCACAGGGACTGTTTAAGTCTTCAACTTCTTGTTTGTTACGTTAGTTTAAGTCTTGAAGCACTATTGTCTCTTAGAAAAAGGGATGAATTTGAGTTGTGATGGTGGATAAACTAACCGTGAGATCGAGATGGCTGGATGCGCGAGGGTAAATGTGCTTATGTTTTCCTTTCTCAAAACCAGCTAGGTGTTCATAATCTATCCTTTATTTTCCTATTACTTTATCCACTCTCCATCTCTGTTTATTATCTTTAAACCACATACAAATGAGAGAAACCCCGTGATGTTATGATACTTCTAGTCCTGGTAGGAGTTATCAAACTACCTAGTCATAGAAAAGGGAGTTCTATAGAAGTTAAACTTAAGGTGCCTAGTGGTAAGTGTTATGAAGCTGCCTAGGTGTCTGATTGAGTTACTAAATACGCTAAGCTAGATTGTACATAAACCCAATAAATTAGAGGATATTATTATGTGCTATTATGTATGAACCTGGGGGAATCACTTTGACTCTTATTTTTCCTTTTACTTCAAGCTATGCCATCCCGCTGCTTATCACTTACTGAGCTCTGTGCCTGCTGGCCTATCTTGAATTTTTTCTAGTGCCTTTCTTTTCTAAAGAAACTACATCAAACTCTTGAGCATGAATCACATCACTTGAGGAATGCATTTGTCTTATCGGTTGGATGGAGTGAGATGCTATATTTCTGATGGTCCTTGCACCTTCAGCTAGGTTTTAAATATTGGTTATCAGGGATTTATCGGACAGTCAAAATCCATATCGGATAGTGGATATCGGGGATATATCGAGGATAAGTAGTATTTATTAGAGTGACATTACCGGATGATGATATACATAATATAATATTCTAAAATGTAATCTAACCATACTTGAAAAATAAACATACCAAAATGTAAATAATTATGTTTAGGATCACTAACCAATGATAGAAACTCGGGTCGGGTCAGATTTAAAGTGCATTGAATAGATGCCTATTGTCCGAAATCTAAAACTCAAACCAAAGGGCGATAATTCCGATTTTTGGGCTAACAATATTGGCAGATAACTCACTTTATCGCCGCATTATCGGCGATAAACATCCAAAAACGACAACCGATTTAGAATCGAACTTATCGTAGCGGAAGACCCCAAATACCGATAAATCGCCAATAATATCGGTTTATCGGCCGATATTTAAAACATTGACCTTCAGTAACCACTTTGTTTGGTGAGGTCACTCTCTGAGGTAGCATTTAATGGATGATTATTAGCAAAGAGGATCATAGTTCTTTATGGACTGTTTGAGGCTATATATGGAGTTTGGGTGCTTCAGCTGTATTTCCCTTCTTTTGCTCCATAAGCACATTGTTGCGGTTTCAAACACTTTTTTTATTGATTTGGTTCACTGCCATTCTGCTGAGTGTATCCGTTGTCTGCATCTTTGCCATTGTGGACAGATATCCTCTTTTTTCTCCTGCGAATCTCTGTATGCTTCCCTGTTGATTGGACGGAATGTTTATAAGATGGCAAGAATATACTTATTATTAAGGTATTCAAATCTGTGATGTTGAGTTCCCCAATGTTTCTCATTTTTTGGCCTACTTATTCCATTTGATCGTTCATCCATATCTAAAATGTCTTGGTGGATAACATTGATGGCATGAATTTTAGGACGCACATTATCCAGTTACTAAGGCATCTACAGTGTGCATAGTCTGTCTTGGAAACCTAGTGGCTGACTACCTTATATTGACTCACAGGTCTTAGAAACCATTGGTTGGCTCCTTTCGGTCAAGTGGTGTCTAGGACCGGAAGCCTGCACTTTAGGACACTGCTTTGGGCTCAAGCAGATTTGCTATTCAATTATTGGCGATATATCACCTTCTCGTCTTCTGATATTGTAACCATAAATTCTACGTTGTGTTGATTGGATTTGAATGCATGCACGATGTTTCATCATTTTACTGGCCTCATTGGTGTGCAGATTTGAGGGCACATATTCTGTTTGCTATTCTGGACCGTTACCTTTTTTGGAGTATGATATATACGATGTTAAACCTTATTCTTATTTCTTGATTTGGATAAATCCATTTATTTACCATCCTGTAACATGATGTGTAATAGAATTTGGCAGAGATTAGGCATTGGTGGCAGGTGCGTCATCTAGCTTGCTTGAGGATTAGGGAGCACCCTAGGGTCCTGGCAATTGGTGGTTAGGTTTTCTTGGATATTCACATGGGTGTGAGTCCCTTTGCCATGAGAACTGAAAATATTATTTTTAATCAAGTGGACAAAATTGATATGATGTAGGGTCAATTTTAATTGTCAAAAGTATACAGCCTATGGAACTGTTAACTAGAATCTACTTGTCTTGTTCTTTATCTTTAAAAACCTTTGGTGTGAAGCTGCCTGAGGTCATATGACTAGACAGATCCTTGAAATGAGCTAATGAACTGGTACTCTTGACAGCAGTGTTGAATTTTGCAATGCCTGTGAGTGATATTATAAATGAAACACCTCATTTATTCGTATTCTGTTGATGCGGGGCAAAGCTTTGCCATGGTGAATTATTTATTCTTTCTCCCTTAACATGGTTATGCATTGACCTTTTTGTGAGATGGGAATTAGATGGCATTTGAGGTTTTCGTCTT